GGCAACATGTTCCAATTAGGAGACAGAGACTGAAGATTCAAACTGAGTGTGAGGGCCACACACTGCTTAGGAGCCAAGCACACTAGCCAGATGACTCACAAAGTGACAGAAACAGAGATCAATATTAATTCCCAAAGACTAGGCTCAGAAGAAAAAGAAAATAGGTATATAGATATGTATGTAAATTCTATTTAAAGTAACTCAATTATCTTGTGATTCTCAAAAGTAAAATGGAATAAACAGATTATGTTATATGTTCAATCAACTTTCTACTAGGAATCATTTCAGGAATAGAATTTATTTTTGTGAGAAAACTACTGATCTCTACATAACCCTATCTTTATTTAAAATACATCTATTACCTGGAAACAGACTCATAGATAAAAGAACAGGCAGACAGCTCTTGGTGAGGTTGGGGAGTAGGACTGAGCGAAAAAGCCTGTTTGTCTCCGTGGATAGAGCATCAGCCTGCGGGCTGAAGGGTCCCAGGTTCGATTCCAGTCAAGGGCACATGCCCAGGTTGCTGGCTCAGTCCCAGTGGGGGGGTGCAGGAAGCAGCTGTTCAGTGGTTCTCTCTCATCATTGGTATTTCTGTCTCTCTCTCCCTTCCTCTATGAAATCAATAAAAATATTTTTAAAAAATAAATAAAAGAACTCAGACAACAGTGTCGTGATGGGGGGGGCAGTGGTGGAGGTGGAAGAGGGCAAAGAGTGGATAAATGGTGATGGGAAAAAATGAAATAAAATAAAAAGAAAGCAGTGCTCTATTCTATAAATAAATAAATAAATAGAATATAGCAATTAAAATATATCAATTATCTAGCAGATGTAGTAAGTACAATGCTTCAACAGAATAGATCACAAAGATGAAATATCAATAAAATCTATTTTCCTAAAAAATAAATATTGGCCGAATATTTCTTTTATGAAATGATTCATTAGAAAAGCTTTTCCTTTTTTATCAAAACAATTAACAGTTTACCCAATAAATCCCATATTTAAATACTCCATTACTCTCTAATACCAGACTGAACATTTGTCTAAAAACTTATTTACAGAAGAAAGAGTACTTCCCAAAGTTTTCATAAAATTACATTGCAATAGATTGTCTCCAAATGAAAAGCAAAGTCTTAATAATAGTAATTGAATTTTTATACTTAACAAGTAGAATGAGAAAAAAATCCATCTTTCCTCAACCTACCTAAACATCTTTTCTATTATCCTATAATACACTCAGTATATTCTTGTCTTAATCTTCTTCCTGTCTTTTTTACAATATTCTAGATCTGCTCTATCGACAACTTTTGAAAGTATCTGTGAAAAATCCAAGTGCCTCAGTACATTTTAAACATCTAAACAATTTAAAATGTAGCTTCAACTAAAATCACTTATATCTGTATAGTTTAAAAGTGCTTTTCTATATATGTATATTCCAACTAAAGAAAAAGTACTAATTGATTATGTCATTCCATACTTGACAATTATAAACTGTTATGTATTTTGCATAATTAGTTGATTACCTAAAATAAGTAAGAAAATGTTCATATTTCACTAAAAGTTTGAAGTCTCTGGGGGAGGGGGGGGGGTTATGGTCTTTAACCCTAAAAACATTGTATTATTATGCAAACAACCTCCAAGTTTTACAAACAGGTACATTTTCAACAAGATAGCGAAGTTTTCCAACAGAAAGATGGCCTATCTATAAAATGGTTCAAAAATTACCTGCGTACAATTACACAATAGAAACCAAGAGGGAGAGAACTAGAAACTTCATGTGTTCTAAACACTAACACATTTGCATCATATGGCCCTCTTGGCATTCTCCTTTCTAATTATGTTCCCACAGAAAGACCCCAAAGCTCTATTTAACCAAGCCCCACTAACTGGTGTCATGACTAGAAAATGCTGGACAGTAAGTCCTGCAGCCTAAGTCACTGGAGAGAAAAGCAATCCTAAAGGAAATGCCTTTAGTCTGTTGGTGCCAGAACATTCTGCGGAGAGGCTCCTCTGCGAAGCACTGGGTGTGGGCTCTGGCTAGCTGACTTTATAGACCTACAGCTCCCAGAGTGCGATGCTGACTGAAGGTTTTAGACACATCTTCATTTTCATGAAAGGAAAAGGCAAGAGATACCTCTTGAATGGCTTTCACATCTATTTCTCTCCGTTCTCCTTGGCCACTACACCAGTACAGGCCACCATCATCACTGCCCTGTATTACTCCTCCTGATAAGTCTTTTGTTAACCTGGTAACACCCCACGAATTTACATAATACATCATATTCATACAGACTCATAATCATAAACCATAGCCACACACCCAGGCCACTCTTGAGATGATCCAATAGTTTTTCACATTAAAGGAAATCATATCACTACCCGCTCAGTGTTCTGCAATAACTCCTCAGGATAAAAGCATCAGGATAAAAGTCCAAAGTCCTAAGCATCACCTTTGGAGCCCTGAATTATCAACTGCTCTCACCATCTAAGCTTCATTTTCAGGTGATCCCTACCAATCGACCCCAATGAACTTTGAGGTCCTCAAATGTGTAGTCTCTCTCACACATCCAGGCCTTCACCAATGCCTCCAACACTCTTCTCCCTATTTCCATTCTCTCCTACAGGACTAGGCTGGTGTCACCTCCTCCAGGATACCTTCCTCTACCTCCCACATTGATTTGTAACTGTCACTTTACTTTTCTACTCTGGGAGCTCCCTGATCCCAGCGAATGGGGCCAGTGCCCCTTTGTCCACTATTATATCAAAGGCACTCAAAAATTTTGACAATCGGGGGAAAAGGAGACATATGTAAAACTTTAGACAATAAAAAAGAAAAAAATTAATATATTGTAAGTTTAGAGAACATAATATGAATGTCATCCATGCAATAAAGAAAACATGTTCAAAGTCAGTTAAGATGTGATGGAAAGTAGGCAGTAATTTCATTATACTTTGGTATAAAATGCAAACTATACAGGTGCCTACAGACACCTTTAGAAAAGGTTAAAACATTACATATTAAAAGGAACACTTTTCATCATAAAAATATTAGTTTTGTGGTCACTACTCCTGTTAGGCAAATTGCAGTTCAACATTTCAGGCTGAAATATCAAGAAAAAAGTCCTGATTGCTTATATAGGCCAAGTATGGCATCAGTCTATCCCACTTTGCTACTACCAAACTCTTGGCATTACACAGAATTCTGCTGTCCAAAGGGAGAAAAGGGAAAAGGGCTACTCCAATTCCTTAATTTTTAAGTCTTGATATAAGTCTTTCAATAAGGGTTCCACTCATGACAATGGTCCCAAGGACATAAACATGTTGCCAGGAAATAGAACTTTGATATATTCTGGGCATTCATTGCCATTGGCAACTACTTTCTTTGAGCCACATGTCTTATAATGAGTTACAATCTGAGGCTTGTGACACCAGAGTTTTCCAGGACTGCAGACTGATGTCATAAACATGATGGTACTAAGCACTCCAAAGAGTTCACCAGCTCAACCCTGAACTCCCCGTAGGCAAGGGGCAAGTTATCCACCCTCTTCTCTTTAAGCCTCCTTCCTCATCTACATAGATAAGATTTCCTAAGGTCCTTTGCAGGAGTTAGACTGTCCGAGACAGCACTTAGCAAATAACCCAATTATTATTTTCAAATCAAAACGAAGGGAAGACTATAAAGCCTAAAATACTTTCACAACTTCAGAACCTTTGGTAATGTCACAACTTTTTATTAATGTCCTTCCCACCGGGAAATTCTTGATAAAAGGCAGAAAGATGAGAAAACAAGACTATTTCTTCGTCATAACTCTTGGATTTGACACATTTCACAGAAATCTACATTAAGACACAGTTCGTAATCTTTGTCTGCACTCCCAAAATCATTGCCTTAGGTTCTACCTTAACCAATCCTAGGTTCGGAAAGTTAGGAAAGATAAAATACATCTTCCCAAGATGTCTTCCCCAGAAATAATCATTTCCTTACTGCCTCTATGCACCTCCAAATATACCGAGTCCTTGGAAAATAAAATAAAAATAAAAAAGGTCTCAATCACAAAAGTTGGCCTTTGAAGTCTACCGTTTCCTTACAACAGAAGCAGGGCCATCAGGTCCTACCCAGGCACCTGTTAGGTGAGAAACGTGGCAAGCCGTCAGGCTCAGGCCCTCCAATTTAAACTGTGGGTGGGAAAGTTGATTTCCCACCGCACATTTTTCAACTCTAAAACAGAATGGCCAAGTAATAACATAGGCTGGCCAATGTGAATATTTTCATTGTGTTTTGTTGTTGTTTTTTAATGGGGATAGAAGGAAATTGGAGCCAATAGACCCTCAAGTTCCCCAAGCCAGGCTGACTTGAGTTTTGTTTTGGTGTGTTTTTTTTTGACAAGGAAATTTTACAGATCTTCGCAAATGTGTTTTAAATAAAGGTGAGGCCTCAACTATCTTACAACTTTACCTCCGCCTGGACTCTGCTCTCGATTTTTAAAAAAGGGTGTCGTGTGAACAGCTTCCTAAAAGTCAATGAGGCACCGGGATTATAATTTAGGAAGTGATGATGCAAGTCTCCGGGGGACAGGGAGGAGGGGAGGTGAAAAAGTCAGAGGAAATACCCTCCTGGCGCCTGGGCACAAACTCAGACCAAGGAGGGGGAAGAGAGGGGAACAAGGGCCGGCCTCCACATGCCCAGAAAAGGGGGGCCCCCAGCCGCCCCCCCACCCCTGCCCGCTGCCCTGCCCCCCTCCCCCGTGGCCCGGGCCTCCCGGGCGGCCCTGGCCTCTCTGGCAGGAGGATCACGGAGGGTGGCAGCGCACTCCGGGCCGTGTCTGCGCTGCCCACCCCCACGCCCCACCCGGCACCCCTCCCCGGACTCGGCCCCTGCCTCCTCCCCGTAGGCCCGGCTGGAGCCCAGCCCCCAGGGCTCGGGCCTCCCCGGCCTAGGCCTGCCCGGGAAGCCCCCCGCGCCCGCGCCCCCGGCCCCCGCCCCCGCCCGGCCCGGCACTTACCCCCAGAAGCCGCAGGGACAGCGGGGCGGCAGGCTGGGCGCTTTGCTGCGCTCGCTCCCGGCGTCTCCCATGGTGCTCGGCGGCGGAGGCGGCGGAGCTCGGCGGCGGCAGCGGTGGCGGCGGCTGGGCCTGGGCCCCGCTCGAAGGAGGCGGCGGCGGCGACTGTGGGGGTCTCGGGGCAGGGGGAGGGGGAGGGAGCGGGCGCGCGGGCGGGCGCGAGTCCGGGGCTCCGAGCCGGGATTCCAGGCCGGTCAGCTGGAGGCGGGCCGCACCACTGGGCCTGCGGAGACGGGGGGGTGGGGGGGCCCGGGGCGGCGCGGAGCGGAGTGGGAGGGGAGTTGAGGAGGAGGGGCGTGCGGGTGAACCGAGGCCCGCGGGGAGAGGGGCAGGAGCGAGGACCCGGCGCCCTCGGCGGCTCCCACCGCCGCTCCCAGCCACAGCGATGTCCCGTGTGGCCGCGCTGGGAAGGACCTGAGGCCCCCGCCGGCTCCGGCGTAGCTGCGGCCGCAGTGAAGCTCCAGGTCCCGCTCGCTCTCCCCTCCCCCGGAGGCTGCGCTGACCGGACAATGGCCGCTCCTCCCCCTCCCTCCCTCCCTCACACACCCCTCCCACGAAGTCACAATGGTCTCGCCCGGGAGAGCCGCCGCCAAAGCCCAGCAGCTGATCAGCTGGGATCCGGGCGTGCCACTTTGTTCAGCTCCTCAAAGGAAGCGAGTGGGGCTGGGAGCAAACCTAAAACGCAGGCTCTCGCTCGGCGACGGGCCTGAGGCTTTCTTATTCCTGGGACTTTTAAAATCTGAGGCAAACTTACCTTCCCCCATCCCTACGTCTGAAGAAGGGGAGCCGACTTCTGATTACGGGGGGGCGCGTTGCCCCCCACACACGTGAATGGTATGCCCCAAGCGGGAGGGAGGGGAGCAGCTTAGTTGTTTAGGGTAAGTTGGGCCAGTCCCAGAGCAGCGGCCGAGCGCTGCGCATGCGCTCAGAGACCCCCGTAACTGGGTGCAGGGAGGGGCCGAGAGGAAGCGCTTCCAAACCCGGAAGTGGGTCTGGGTTTTCCCGGAGAGTTGTGTCGAGGTCAGGGTCCATGCCCGCTCTCTCCCTTCTCCGTACCCCCCAGCCTCAGAGACACAAGTCCGTTCTCTAAGCCTAGACTAGGAGAACCTATTTCCCTCTTAGAGCGGACATGTCTGGATTTTGCAGGGGAGCTCTGACCTCGTCAGTGATGGAAATGGATGAGTGACCAAAGAAGTTTGAGCCACTAAGAAATGAGTCCTTTGGCTCCCCGTGTCTTGTGTTCGGAAACTCATGCTGAGCTCCAGCCAAACGTAACCTGAAGGCGATTGTTGGTGACTAATTTCAACACACGGAGGAACCTTGCACCAGACCGCCTGGAGAGGACCCACAGCCGAGGTCCTTATGGGTGAACTTCTAAGTCCCTGATACTTCCAGGAAGGAAGGTTTTCTGGCTTTTTTTAGAAATAGCTGCTGTGTACCCCGACCCTTGTGGGGACACCAGATCGATTTTATTACCAAATGTTCTTTAATTTCTGTAGATACCGTTCCCGTTAGTGCTCTGCGGACTTAGTATCGTTGATGTGGCTTCTGGCATCTAAAGAGCAAGGGTCACATTTAGCTTAGCCTCTCCCTAAAGATGCTATTGATGATGAAGACAAATGATGGTGAAAAGTCAAACCATTTAATGCTGAATCACCCCCAAATGTGAGTGCTGGTTTATTTGGGATAAGCATTTAGTTTCGACTTTGTGGATTTTCACAAACCTTCAGTAACTATTTCTGTGAAAAGTCCATAGAATGAATGAAGCCATACAGCACACCTAGCTCTCACTGGACTCATACTGCCCTTAAATCTTCACTTAAACTGACATAAAATTGCCACATTTGTGGAAGACTTACAGCCGATAAGTTTAACGAACTGAGATTAAGTAGACTATTGACATCTTAATTTTCTTTTCTATATTGAAAAGGAAACCCTAAATCCAAAAGGATATTTTAATATAAAATGTGATTGTCATCTTACAAACTGCTTGCCTACCTGTTCGCCATTTATTCAATTTAACAAGCAATACTGGAGTACCCAGTATTTCTTTCCTAAGGCCTTGTCCCTCCTAATCCCCTCTGCCCCAGCTGCCCTTCCTCTTTCTTGCCCAGCACACTCCTACTTTAGCCACACGTTACTTATCCAATGTCTTCCATACCCTGACAAGACAGAATTGGTCCCTCCTTCCTCTGCCCATATAATCTCATTATACCACCTGGAAATTTAAGTTTGTCTCCTCACAAAACCTAGCTCCAAAAGGACTGGTTCATAGAAATAACTATGTACCCTCAACCCAGTGGGGATACAAGAGGCTCAGAGGGTATTACCTGTGTTAGTTTTATTACCAAATGTTATTATTTTATTTCTGTATATACCATCTATTTGTTCATTCTCTGTGGACTTGTGGGGTCCACAAATCTCTGTCAGATTGAAGCAAACTCAATCCATGAAGGACTGGAACAAGGATCTAAAACATTAACAGGAAGCAGAGGAGAACCAAGATGATGGTGTAGGTAAACACTGCCTCCCACAACCACATCAAAATTACAACTAAAATACAGAACAACCATCCAGAACCACCTGAAATGTAGCTGAATGGAAGTCCTACAACTAGAAAAGTAAAGAAGAAACTATACCAAGACTGGTAGGAGGGGCAGAGATGCAGAGCAGGCTGGTCTGACACCCACATGGGCCTTTTTTTTTTTTTTTTTTTTTTTTAATCGGGAGGGATATCTCTGCTGCAGAGGCCTCCTGTGAGAAGAAAGGAGTCCCAGGCCCACACCAGACCTTCAGCCCAGGGTTCCAGAGCTGGGAAGAGAAGTCCCCTATAACTTCGGGCTGTAAAAAACAGCAGGGGTTATGCCTAAATGACACAGAGGCTGCTGCTGTCCCACACAGTTCCTCTTAAAGGGGTGGTGCACGAACTTCCATAGTCCCACTTCCTCTGCAATGGCTGGGGTGAATCCAAGGACATATGGTGAGAAACTGGATTGTCTGGCATCCAGGTAGGAGCTTGAGGGCAGCTTTCTCCCAGAAGGAGGTGCTCCCAGGGTTTATTGTTCCTTGCTGGGACCTCCCCCATCACAGAGCTGACTGGCAGCCATATCTGAGTTTCCATCAGCCTGGCCCACACTGTTTGCTCTGCCCTGGTGATTCCCTGAGACCCCACCCCATCCAATTTGCAGTCCCACTGAAGCTGTTTGCTTTGGCTTTTCTATATGAATGACCTGCCTGGTTCAAGCGTCAGACTTTGTTAAAATCTCTCAAACAAGCAGCACCTGGTGTCAGCATGCCCCAAGCTTATCAATAAAAGGCCCAAGACCTGGAATTAGCACCAGCCTGCCTTGATTCACAGCTGGGCCTTACCTGGGCACTTCCAAGCCCAATACAAGTAGCAGCCATCTGCAGATCTCTCTGTAGCTCCTGCCAGGGGGTCCCAGGCAGTGGTTGACTTTGCACCCCCCAGGAGACCCCAGAGCCAGTGCACCCAGTAGACAGCTTCAGTTCATACCAAATTATAACTCTACACATCCACAAGTGACACACTCAAGGGAAAGACTCAGTGAGCACCAAAGCCCCACTGAAACAACTCCTGCTCCATAGCGGTGTCTCCTGCACAGCAACTCTTCTACTGTAGTCATCCTGGTCCTCACAGCCAATTGGCCTGCAGGTCAACTCCTACTGACGCCAACAGCAATCAAGGCTCAACTACAAGACTTTGCACACAGCCCACATAGAGCCCCAATTCAGGTGACTGGGGAGGCTGAGCCACTGGGACCTACAGGACACCTATTATACAAGGCCACTCCATCAATTCCAGGAGACATAGCGGCTCTACCTAATACATAGAAATAAACACAGGGAAGCAACCAACATGCAGAGACAAAGAAATATGTCACAAATGAAAAAATGGAAGCAAGCAAACTACTGGATACAGTGTTCAAAACAATGGTTAAGAGGTTACTCAAGGATCTTAATGAGAGCTTCAAGGGACTTAATGAAATTTTCAAGAATTTTAGAATTTCAAAGACATGAAAAAGGACCAGTCAGAAATTAAGCATACACTAACTGAAATAAAGAATAACTTACAGGGATTCAACAGTAGAGTAGAGGATTCCCAGAATCAAATCAGTGATTTGGAATATGAGTAAGCAAAAAACACCCAATCAGAAGAGCAAAAAGAAAAATGAATCCATAAATATGAAGATAGTGTTAGGAGCCTCTGGGACAATTTCAAACATACCAACATTCACATTATGGGAGTGCCAGAAGGAGAAGAGAGAGACCAAGATATTGAAAACCTATTTGAGGAAATAATGACAGAGCCTGGCCGGCATGGCTCAGTGGTTGAGTGTTGATCTATGAACCAAGAGGTCATGGTTTGATTCCCAGTCAGGGCACATGCCCTGGTTGTGGGCTCAGTCTCCAGTGAGGGGCGTGCAGGGGGTAGCTGATCAATGGTTCTCTCTCATCATTGATATTTCTACCTCTCTCCCTTCATCTCTGAAGTCAATAAAACTATCTTTAAAAAAAGAAGAATGAATGAATGACAGAAAACTTCCCCTACCTGGTGAAAGAAATAGACTTTCAAATCCAGGGAGCACAGAGTCCCAAACTAGAAGAACCCAAAGAGGCTCACACAAGACACATCAAAATTAGGGAAAATGCCAAAGGTTAAAGACAAAGATAGAATCTTTTTTTTTTTATTGCTTAAAGTATTACAAAGGGTATTACATATGTGTCCTTCCCTCCCCCCCCCCCCCCGACAGTCCCCTAGCCTCCCCTACCCCGCAGTGTCTTGTGTCCATTGGTTATGCTTATAAAAGATAGAATCTTAAAAGCAGCAAGAGAAAAGCATTAGTTACCTACAAGGGAGTGCCCATATGATTGTCAGCTGATTTCTCAAAAGAAACCATGCAGGCGAGAAGGGAGTGGCAAGAAATATTCAAAGTGATGAATAGCAACGACCTACAACCAGGATTACTCTACCCAGCAAAGCCATCATTTAGAATTGAAGGTCAGATAAAGAGCTTCACAGACAAGAAAAAGCTAAAGGAGTTTATCACCACCAAACCAGTATTACATGAAATGTTGAAGTATATTCTTTAAGAAGAAGTAGGAAAAAGAAGATCAAAAATATGAACAAGTCTTTCCAATGTGGCTCAGCAGTTGAGCGTTCACCTAGGAACCAGGAGATCGTGGTTCAATTCCTGGTCAGGGCACATACCCAGTTACGGGCTCATTCCCAGTGTGGGGCATGCGGGAGGCAGCCAATCAATGATTCTCTCTCAACATTGATGTTTCTATCTCTCTGTCTCTCCCTTCCTCTCTGAAATCAATAAAAAAAAATTTTAAATGAACAATAATATGGCAATAAATACATATCTATCAACAATTGAATCTAAAAATCAAAATAAATGAACAAGAAATCTAAGGGACAAAATTAATAACTAAAATAGAATCAGAGTCATGGAAACATGGAACATACTGAGGAATCTCATAGGGAAGGGTGAGGGGCAGGAAGAGATTATCCAAATATAAGCATATATACATTGCCTATGGACACAGACAATAGAGTGGTAAAGGCCTAGGGTGGAATGGGAACCAGGTGGAAGGGGGCAATGAGCGGGGAGTAGGACAAAAGAGGTACATCTATAACACTCTCAACAATAAAGTTGGTTTTTGGTTTTTTTTAGTAAATTTAAAAAAATATTAACAGGAAGTCAAATAGCTATCCCTTCATTATCTTTCTCTGTGGTCAAATGTTCTTTCATCACTACTTCTCCCTACAAGGCTGCTTCATTCTTTTCTGCAGACTTTCTTTCTCTGCTTCTCTGGGAACAAAGTAGAACATGACTGTCCAAGCATGCCTAGCCTCACTTCAGAGGCCCTGGCTGGTGTTACTCAGTGGTTAGAGTGTTGGCTGTAGGTCTCAGGTTTGATTCCCAGTCAGGGGCACATAACTGGGTTGCAGGTTCATCCCCAGCCGTAGTTGGGGTATGTGCAGGAGGCAACCAATCAATGTGTTTCACATGGATGTTTCTTTCTCTCTCCCCTCCCTCCCTTCCACTCTCTCTAAAAATCAATGGAAAAATATCCTTGGGTGGGGATTAACAACAACAACAAAAATTTTGAGAACAGCAGACATTAATTCATATCTATGAATCCCAGTTGGTATAGTTTATGTCAAGTGGTCTATTCTAGCAATAGTCGCCTTTAACCACTGGAACAGTATGTTGTCAAGGCTCTTTGTTTTGTACTGCAAATATAGCTGCCAGAGGCCCATCTTGTAGCCTGCAGTTCTCTAAGAAGGTTACTTATGTTCTTAGCAAAGATTCTAAAATGTGACTACCACCAAAAAAGGAATAAATTGCAGCCTGAAATTCAAATATAAAGAACAATGGGCAAGGTCAAGAATTCTCCAACAAACTAACTCCCACTTAAACTATTTCAGGCCTAAATTTAAATGGCACTCAAAGAAATCTTCACTGACCGCCTCCCACCCAGTCCCAGTTAAAATTATGTCGCCCCATATTTATCTTCTCTGGTACTCTTCCTTTGTAGCACCTATCACAGTATATAATTAAATATTTGTGTGTCTCCTCTCCAAAGATCATGTCTGTTTTGTTCGCTGCTATCTACACAATGCCCAGGGCACATTTGGTGAGTCATTTAATAAACTTGTTGAGGGTTAGGCATCATCCCATGCACTCAAGGGTTGCTTGGTTGGATTCCTAATCAGGATTTCTGCTCGATCCCCAGTAGGGGGCCTGCGGGAGGCAGCCAATTGATGTTTTGCTCTTGCATTGATGTTTCCCCCTCTCCCTCTCTCTCTCTCGCTCTAAAAATAAATTTAAATTTAAAAAAAAATCTTTAAAGAAATAGAATGAAAATAAACATGTTGAATGAATAAAAAAGCACAATAATTTGTTAATCAATGCGAGATCCATATATGAGTTGGCATCCTTATCAGATTATC